CCTCATGTCTTTCTACCAGTTTCCAGCCTGCAGTATTTTGTGATAGCAATGGAACTCATATATTCACATAGCCCAAAAGTGACTCAAGTAAACTTGAAAAAATCCAAATGAGTCCAAATGCCTGAGGCTGTGTCCTTTTCGGATTACTGTGCAGTACTGCTTCTACCAGGAGTCAGACCTGACATCTGCAGGTCTCCAGATTTGTCCCACTGTTTGTTTTGTGCCACCTGAGCATTAAGAACAGTTTTCACGTTATAAAATGGTTGAAAAAATTAAAAGAATGGTGACATATGAAAATGTCAAAATTACATTTCAGTGTCCATCAATAAGGTTTTATTGGAATACAACCACATCTACTCACTTCTGTATTAGGTAAATCTTTTCTACTACAATGGTAGAGTTGAATCATTGTGACATAGACCATATGGTTTGAAAATTTGACAAGAACAGTTTGCTAAGCTCCCACCGCATTGACAGAAAAGGAAGCAAATAACAACCCATCTCTGATCTTAGCTCATCTCCAGAGCCTTGTCCTGATATCTCTGCTCTTCTATGATGAACTGGAGGGCTCTCCAGGGACGCTCAAGTGAGCATCTTGGATGATGGTATCTTTGAGTTATTCTCAGCATTCCTCTCAGGAGTCTTTGAGGCCTAGAATGTTAGGGTGATATTAGGTCATTCATCAAATGTTTAGATGAAAATGGAGACAGCAGACTTGGGTTATTTGTGAACAAGGCTCTGAAAGCCAGCCTGTTGGTCTTTGCTGAGAGGTGCCAAACTATCAGAGGCTCCACTGGGAGCTGTGTGTGGCGCCATATATGGGCACAATCTCCCAAACCAGGCTTCTCCCACGCAGCAGCATAGTCAGACTCACTTTTTAAAAATGTGTTTATTTATGTTTAAATGGATAGATAAAACTGTGCACATTTATTCTGTACAGTGGAGCATTGTGAATTATATATTCCTTTTGTGATGTCCAAATGGAGTTAATAAACACAGACCTACCTTTCAGATTAAAGATCAGCATTTCTGGTCTTCCTCTTTGAGCAAGCTGTGGGGAACCTCACTTTGGCCATATTTGAAGGGAACAAGAACACTGCCAACTTCTGAGCATGTCTGATCCATGCATCAGGGATGATTGAGGACTTCCTTTTCTTCTGTGTCTCTCTTTTCATCTGTCTGCATTTGGGTGCATACTACTTCATGGTCCTGCTCACTTCCTGAATGTTTAAATAGGTATTGATGAAGAAAATACTTACTGCATGCCTGAAGGCAATGGGCCCAAGTGAAGCATTCCATGGATGATAGCTTAATCAGACTGCATAGCAAGCCTCCACCATCTCATCAACTATTTATTAAATGTCTGCAAAATGCCAGCTCTGGTGCTAGGCCAGGGCTACAAAAACACAGCAACAAGCATAATCCCTGTCTTCATGAAGCTAACCATCTAGTGGGAGAAGAAGATAATAAAGAAATAGTAAAACCTTTACCAAGCTGGGTGCCAGGGGGTCATGCCTGTAATTCTAGCTACTTACAAATCTGAAATCTGGGGCTGGGAAGGTGGCTCAGTGATAGAGTGCTTGCTTTGCATGCATGAGGCTCTGGGTTCGATTCCTCAGCACCACATAAGCAGAAAAAGCCGGAAGTGGCACAGTGGCCCAAGTGGTAGAGTGCTAGCCTTGAGCTGAAGAGCTGAGGGACAGTGCCCAGGCCCAAAATTCAGGCCCCATGACCAACAACACAAAAAAAAAAGAATCTGAGATCTGAAGATTATGGTTTGAGGCCAGCTCAAGCACACAAATCCAAGAAAATCTTATCTCCAATTAACCAGCAAAAAGCCAAGAGTAGTGCTGTGGCTCAAGTGGTAGAGTGCCAGCTGTGAGGAAAAGAGTTAAGCAAGAGCACCCAGGGCCTTAGTTCAAGCCCCAGTACCGGCACAAAAACTAACCAACCAACAACAACAAAAAAATAACCCACCTTATCCATTGCAATAATTAGTGGAAACCAAAGAATAGGAGTGTTAAGACAGAGGAATGAGGATACCTATCCAAGACTGAGGAATGAAGGAAGGTCTCTCAGAGGAGGGGGGTGGTATTTATGATGGGCGCTGAAGGACAAGAAGGAGCTGGCTGAAGGAAACTGAAGCATGTGTTGTTGAGACGGGTAAGCTCAAGAGAAAGGAAGACAAATAAGTGGAGAGAGGAAGGATGGGTGAATAAAGTCATGATAATCAATGTACATATGTGAAAATGGAGCCAGGTAACTGGAAGGGATGGGTGGGGTTGAGAGGGATGGAGGAAAATGATAGAATGGTTGACACTGACCAATAAGTATTACATTCATAAATTGACATATTGAATTACAACTCCTTTGTACAACTACTTAAGACTATATGTGTGTATATAGACATATGTATGTATAGATATATACATATATGTATAGACACATATATGTGTGTGTATATATACACACACACACACACACACACACAAATAAAAAAGGATATGGCTGGAAGTTTCTCAGCAATTGGCCTAGAAATGTTGGTAGATGAGTTTCCTTCACAGAAAGTATGCCAATAACTTAGTTGACCATGGAGGAATCTGAAGGTACAGCTGCTATTGTTTTAAAGATCTCAAACTGGAGCCCTAACTGAGATTACTTCTAGGCAATATAGCTCAGGAGCAAAAGAGAATAACTGGACAGTCAATTCTTTTTTTTGGTACCAATCTTGGCGCTTGAACTTATTTGCTCAATGCAAATGCTCTATCACTTGAGCCACAGCTGCACTTCCAGATTTTTTGTTGGTTAATCAGAGAGAAGAGTCTTATAGACTTGCCTGTCCAGGCTGTGTTTGAGTTGTGATCCTCAGATCTCAGCCTCCTGAGTAGCTAGGATTACAGGCAGGAGCCATGGCCCCTGGCTTTGGGCATTTAATTCTGTAAAAGTGTATGGAATACTTCTCACAAACCCAGCACTGTCTATGCTCTGGGAAGCCAGAGGTCAATCAGACAACAAGTATCTTGCCTTGTAGCAAAGGAAATAGTCCATAGTGCCAATCAAGTTACACTATGGCAAATATAACAGAAGAAATAAGAACCAATTTCTAAGGACTCACAGAAGCAGGGTGCTGAAGCATATTTGAAAGAGCTGGGAAACAGCTGTTGCACAGGAAGCTGCATTTTGAGGCAGCAGATGGGCCTTCCACAGAAAGAAACCTGTGTGACAAAAGGCCAGCCTGTGGAAGAATTTAAACTGAATTTGTCAAGCTAAACTGCAAGACAGAGGCCACAGGATAGCTTTGGGAATGTGTTGTAGTTTTGAGGGGCACTAGAAGTATATAAACATAGGGCAGCCCTGGTGAACTAGCCTTGAGAATGCCCTTCTCCTTCTCCTTCTCCTTCTCCTTCTCCTTCTCCTTCTCCTTCTCCTTCTCCTTCTCCTTCTCCTTCTCCTTCTCCTTCTCCTTCTCCTTCTTCTTCTTCTTCTTCTTCTTCTTCTTCTTCCTCTTCTTCCTCCTCTTCCTCCTCCTCCTCCTCCTCCTCCTCCTCCTCCTCCTCCTCCTCCTCCTCCTCCTCCTTTTGTCGGTCGTGGGACTTGAACCCTGGGCCTATGCATTGTCCCTCGGCTCTTCAGCTCAACGCGAACACCCTACAACTTGACCCACAGCACCACTTCCAGCTTTTTTTTTTTTTCTGTTTATGTGGTGCTGAGGAGCCACCTTCCTAGCCCAAGAATTCCTTTCTTGATCCCTACTCCCGAGGGGCTTTTCCAATTTTTCTAGGACACTATGGCATTTCAAAGAAATTGCCTGTTCCTTTTCTAGGCAAATTTCATGCTTTGAAAAAGCGAGTGTTTTTTTTTTCTCCTAAGTACTTTATGCTTTTCTTACAACTTTTCAAAACATCTACCATATGGTATTCCTCCCAAGTGGCAGATTATTGTCTGTTTATTTAGGAGCTGAAATGAAGTCATCTGTCCACTAAGGTGACAGCTGCAAACAGAGATGTCTCTCCATTTGAGCCTAGCCCAACAAGCCTTGGCTATGGCGTAGCTGTCCCCTCGCTCCCTCCCACTGCAGCCTTTCTCCTTTCTCTGCTCACTTCCCATTATATAAGAGCATTTTTGCAGAGATCAGTTCTGGCCCTTTCTGAATATTTTAGGTGTCAAACATCCTGTTTTTCTCTGAGTCATGTGACCCTGTCAATGACCTATGACCTTTCAGGATGACATCATGGGATTTGACTGAGAATGGTCCAGGAGAATTGATCATGGGAGCCAAGAGACATCTGCTTGCTGCTCCTTTACCTTCCATAAAGTTGTCTGGAGATGTTGAACAAGAAGTCTGTCGATGAGTGTCTGATTTACATAAAAGCAGGGGTAAAAAACTAGAGACTGAATACTTAATCCTGCCCCAAACCAATCTAGTCCCAGCTAGCTCTGCAAATGGATTCTGTTATTTTTGTTGTTGTTGGATGGTACTGGGGCTTGAACTCAGGGCCTTGTGTTTGGCTAGGCAAAAACTGTACCGTTTGAGCCATGTCACCAACCCTTTTTTGCTTTAGTTATTTTTCAGATAGGGTCTCATACTTTTACCAGAGCCAGTCATAGATCATTATCCTCCTACTTATGGCCTCCTCTGTAGTTTGGGATTATAGGTGCACCCATTACACACAGCTTCTTGTTGACATAAAGATCTCAGTAATGTTTTGCCTTGGGTTGGCCTGAATTGCAAACCTTTAGATTTCTGCTTCTTGAATAGCTGGAAGTGTAAGTGTGAGCCACTGTGTCTGGCTGCAACAAGTTTCAGTGGCATCTAGCAAAACTTGAGTATTGCCGATAGCCATTGTTTTTGGTCGGCTGTGGGGCCTGAACTCTGGGCCTGGGTTCTGTTCCTCAGCTCTTCAGCTTAAGGCTAGTGCTCTATCTCTTGAGCCACAATGCCACTTCGGTTTTCTGAGTGGTTTATTGGAAATAAGAGTCTCACGGACTTTCCAGCCTGGACTGGCTTTGAACTGTGATCCTCAGATCTCAGCCTCCTGAGTAGCTAGGATTATAGATGCAAGTCACTGGCACCCGGTCCTACAGCTATTTTTTGTTGTGTATTATTATTATTATTTTTGGATCCGGTAGAGGGCCTGAACTCTGGGCCTGGGCACTGTCCCTCAGCTCTTCAGCTCAAGGATAATGCTCTACCACTTGAGCCACAGTGCCACTTCCGGCTTTTTTTTTCGGCTTATGTGGTGCTGAGGAATCGAACCCAGGGCCTCATGCATGCAAGGCAAGCGCTCTACCACTGAGCCACCTTCCCAGCCCTCCTACAGCTATTTTTTTGAGCCAGCTTACAGCAGAGTTAAGTGGATTAACAGAGTCCATATGGTCTACAAGGCCAAACATCTTATTGTGTGAACCTTGTGGAAAAAGTTTACCAACCCTGGTACTGAAGTCTTTTCCTCTTACCTCTAGAAGGGGCATGGGAACATAGTGACTTCCCATGACTGAGAGCACCATGGCCCATTTCCTCTCCGCCTCTGCAAACATGTGGTACAAGAAAGTACACTGATTATTACCAAGCATATCAGAGCCAACTATGTGATGCTCGATTAAATCTACTTCACCTTCTTCCTGGACTCAGCATAGTATGGCTTTGTTGGAACATCTGCTTAGTTGCCATAGTCAATGTTGGTCTATTTTCAACAGCAACAATACATGAGGCACTAGGATATTCCAAGGAATTGGCTGCAGATTCTAAAGGCATTCCCCTAAAAGACACTCTCATTTCTTCAGAGCCAACGTGGCCTCACTAAAAGATTTACGTGTCAAGGTTCTATAAGTGTTAGAAACATCCTTTGGGCTTTAGGTGCATATTTTCAGCTTTGGAGAAATTTCGTTTTGTGAGAAATCCTCAGTGTGTGGCACTCTCCTCTCTATGTAAGCACTATTTCTTTTTTCATTTTTCTTGTCGGTCATGGGGCCTGAACTGTAGGCCTGGACGCTGTCCCTCAGCTCTTCAGCTCAAGGCAAGCGCTCTACTACTTGAGCCATAGCACCACTTCTGGCTTTTTCTGCTTATGTGGTGCTGATGAATCGAACCCAGGGCCTTATGCCTGCGAGGCAAGCACTCTAACCACTGAGCCACCTTCCCAGCCCCCAAGGACTATTTCTATACATCAAAAGACTGGACTATCTGTCTTGCCTCTTCTCTTTCTAGTTGCTGTCAGTGGATTTTTCTGTTGTTTAGTATACTATATCCATTCAGCTAAGAATGGTCTAGTTCCATATCTTACAGCCAAGTATGGATGGGAAAGAGTTCCTAGAAGCTGGGCTATGCTATGCTGTGGGTGGGCCTGGCATAGCTGGAAAAGAGTGGAGGCAGTGGACATGTCAGATTTGGTGCTCCCTCTTATCTCATGACTGCCATGTGCTCTGGACTGCTGCGGTTGAAGGAGTGTGGAGGTCAATGGTTTTAGAAAAGCATGAACCGCCTACTATTGCTCCACATTTCAGCTTTCTCATTTGCCTTAATCTCATTCTGCAAAGGAGCTATTGTGTGGCCGCTCCTAAAGAAAAAGATAACCAGCTAAGCAAGTTGCTTTTTTTGTCCTTGGCTTCTCTTCTTTTTCTCTTCCTTCCTTCCTTCCTTCCTTTCTTCCTTTCTTCCTTCCTTCCTTCCTTCCTTCCTTCCTTCCTTCCTTCCTTCCTTCCCTTCTCTCTCTTTCTTTCTTTCTCTCTCTTGCTTCTCTTATCTTTCCTTTTTCCTTCTTTCCTTCCTTCCTTCCTTTCCTGATTTTTTTTCTTTTTGTCAAGAGCTCCCACAAAATGTCCACCAGTCATGAGCTTACATTGCCTCACTGATTTCTGCTCTGCCAAAATCTCAAACACTCAACATTGAGAAGGAGTTGTTCATTTTCCTGTCTGTGTATATGTTTCCGATTGAACTTAATGTGCCTGAGTGGTTGAGAATGATCAAATGGATTACGAAGAAGGAAGGAAGATATAGGGCTGGAGTCACAAGTGTAAATTCCTCCCCAGATTTGTATATCCCAGCTTTGAATCAGTTAGAAGGTAGTTTGGATTGGGAGGCTCTTTTGACCTGTAGTGTTTCTTGCTCCGAGAACCTGAAGTTAAATTTGAACTCTATCCCTATGACTAGGTGAGGAGTAGAACCTGTTCTTTATGTTTTGCAACCTGGTCATTATGACTTGTGATCAAAGAATTGAGAGCCTCAGGCCCTTTGCCAGAGATGGTACAGAGAAAATGTACTACATGTTTCTTTATCAACACAGATGTCCTTTGCACATATGGTAGCCAGGTCCCTCTGGACTCTTTCAAGGGTGGGAATTACATCTTCTATTGTTTGTGTAGCATACAAAAACAATATGAGAAATTGCAAGCAAGTGGGACTTTGGGGTGTTTGGTGCTTTTGTTTGAGCTTAGTATATATTCTGGTAGTATTTAATGATCAAGCAGCTTTTTGGGGGGATGAATTATTTGAAGGTCAAATCCCCCAAAACTCCCATCAATGAGGCAACATGTGAAGGAACTCATGCTTTGTTCATAAAAAGTCTGGCATTACTAGTCCTTGGGGTATTTCCAAACTGCTATGGCTTACCACCAAAGGGAGGACTTTGGTGGGGGCTCCTTGGTAGAGAGCTCTTTAGTGTGCAATTTTTCACAAAAGAAAAGGGGCTTCAGAGACGTTTGCTGGAAGGCTCTGTGCCTCAATTTTGATGCAGAGAGAGAGAGAGAGAGAGAGAGAGAGGCAAGGCCTCCGTTTAGGTTTACTTGTTAGTATTCATAGGAGTGAAGAGTTCTGTTTAATAGGTTGGATGCGTTCCTATGGGCAGAGATTCTGGATGGCTTTCTGTTTTTGCTGCTGGCAGTGTGGGGGCGGGGGGGGGGGGGTATGAGCAGGGAAGTGGGGGATTGTAGACAGCCTGAGGAAAGGCAGCAATGGAATGCAGGGGCTGTTAGCCAGTATTCCTCTTCATTGCCCTCCAGAAAAGCTGAGGCTATTCAAAAGGACTGTAGACTTCTGAACAGCTCAGTCCTGCCCTGGGCCTAGTCATTAGCTGATACTGTTCTTTTGTTTGAAATGAGTGTTCATGTAACATTGGTGGCCTAGGTCTTGCATCAGTCTTGCACCAAGTTCTGAGAAGCTACCACTATTAATTAGCTCCTCCCTTTAGCCCATCATATGGTGGGGAATCTACTGCTTCTCCTCATACTAAGAAGGGTCTACCCCATTTTCTTTAAAACAAACAAACAAACCTACTCCTGTGTCTTCTTTGCATGAGAGACAGAGTGATTCATGTTGAAAGACTATAGGCCGCAACCCTTAGGGGAAAATTAATGACCTATCTTGGGCCCCAGTGGAGCTTCACGGGCTTCTCACTTGGCTTACCACCTCCATATTGCTCTCCTTCAAGGGTGTCCTTTGCCTAATTGATTGAATTAGCCCTCAGTCCATTCTTTCAGCACATTCAATGCGTGTTCATCTAACATTCAAATGTTCAACTTTAATCTAGAGGCTATTTCACAACGTGTGGGAAAATTTAAAAAAATAAAATAAAAAGAGCGCTGTTCACATGAAATGGAGTGTGCGGTCCTGCTGGGAAGATAGACAATAGACTAACAAAAGCAAAGCCACAAATGAGGAAAACATGTGCTTGGCAAATGTAGTGCACAAAAGGAAAGTAGGTTGACATGACAGAGTGACTGGGCAGCTTGCTTGGACAGCATGCTCAGTTGGCATCTGTGAGGTGATGACCTTTAACTTGAGATTTGAAGGCTGAACAGTCAGACTCTTAAAGGCAAAGGTTAAGAATATTCTGGGTATTAGGATGAACTATTGCAGAGAACCTACTGTGGGAAAGACACTTGACGTGGAAGGAGGAACCAAAGTGGAAAAGTCCTTTCCTCTAAAGCCAAAGATTCACATGGGAAGACAGACATTTAAATTAAGTAACAGTTAGCCAGATCAACAAGCTGAGGGTGGCATGGAGAGAAGGATGCTCTCCCTCTAAGCAAAGGCGACAACAAATGGGAAGGGAAAGCGCTCATAGTATATACACATATTTGTGTAATGAGGAAATGTTTACAGAGTTTGAGGGAGGAGTGAGACTATGGGAGAAGTGGGGGAGAGATACAATCCAATTTGAAATAGAAAAGACCATTTCTCTGGCTACTATGTGGAGAATTGAAGGAGGATTGGCTGGGAGATGAGTACAGCATGTGGGTAAGAGGAAACATTAGCTTGTCCCAGGGTGGATGGATGCAAAGATAGGAGGACAGATTTATGAAAACTAACAGGATTTGCCTATGGAGGTGAGTGTAGAACAGAGGAGTCACTGATGCCTTCCAGGATTTTTTTTTTTCATCTGAGAAACTGAATTACTGGTGCTATTTAAAGAGATGGCAGTGAAGGTGTATGAGGTTTTGTGAAGAGCTGGGAGCAACAAGAGCTCTGTTTTGGACGTTAGGAGTTTGAAGAGATTCAGATGGAAACATGGGACTTTAACGCTTAGGGGAGAGTTCTGGCCTAGAAAGAGCCAGTACAGGGTTGAGGGAGTTGTGGTTATTGAGGCCATAGGAATGAAGACACAATGCCAAGGGAAACAGGCAGAAAGAGTGTATGAAGGCAGAGGAAGAAAAGACCTAGCACTGAGCTCCGAGGCTCCTATTGACTACATTTAAAGATCAAATAGAGGAGGAGGAGGAGGAGCCAGTGAGATAAAGAGGAGATCCAGCTGTTTCTTTGGGTATAACTGAGAAAATGGAGTGTTTTAGGAGAGAGCTGTCAATATGTCTAATGCTACTGCTGAGTACTGATGGATGGAGACAAGGGAATGACTGTTGAATTGAGGACAGGAAGGCAATTAATGTCCTTGACAGAAACTCTTTCAGCAGATCGAAGAGCTTATAAGCCTGACTGGAGGTATTAGAGAAGAGAATAAGATGTGAAAAGTTGGAAATGGAGCCCTAATAAACAGCAATATTTTGCAGGCTGCAGTAGAGCCAAAGGTTACAGTATAGCTACAGTAAAACTATATTCTCAGTGTGTGTGTGTGTGTGTGTGTGTGTAACAAGTATGTGAACTCTATATTCATTCAACATGTATCACCCAACATTCTCCTGAAGGAAAAAAGTTACCATACCTTACAGAAATGGAAAGCATCTGGTTCTCCGTAGTTCACAAACACCCCTTTCAAAGTGTCTCTCACTATCACTTGATATGGGTACATCGTTTTCTTGAAGGTATTCTGTTTCCATAACATTCCAAGGTCCTCATAAAGGGTCCTGTACTAGCCTGTCTTCTGATACTAATAACGACACAATACCATAAACAAAAGTAGTTTGTGTTGGTTCCTAGATTTGATCCAAGGTTGAAGGAATACATCACCTGATGGCTTTTTTGCTGGCATTGTCCCCATAGTGGCATATGCATCACATGGCTCCACATGGCCCCAAGGTGGCATAGGTATCATATGGCCCAAAACCAGGAAATGTGTATAAGAGATTTAGCCAAGCTAATTTTTATAACAGGCCCACTCTGGAAATAACCCATTTACCCATGAATCAATTAATCCATGAATGGATTAATTCATTCATGAGGGAAGAGCTCTAATCCTTCTTAAAGGTCCCATCTGGTCTCATGTTTTCACATCTAATAATGGAGATTAATTTTCAACATGAGATTCAGAGGGGCTAAATGACAATGAACCCATAGCAGACCTATCATTATGGATGCAGCACACCAGTGACAAAACTCTTTTGTTCATATTTTAAGCTATGGTTAAGTGCACTATATGGGTCTTGAGAATAAAATGTGAGAGAAGCCAAATTCATGGAGTTTTACATTATAGCAGAAGAGACAATAAGGAAAAATCAACGAAGTAGCAGGGATGTTTTTCAAACAGTAGAGTGCATTGAGGATAATTTGTGGAGGAGAGGGGAAAAAACAAGTTGTTTAAATAGGGATACAGATGCACCCATTGCAACAATGAGATGTACAAGACGTTATGTCGAAAAACAAACTTTACAACTTTGGCGGGGGTGGGGTGATGGAGAAGATGGGAAGGGATGGGAAGGGGAAACAAAGGAGGAGGCAACAATGCTTGATAAGAAATGTACTCATTACCTTACCCATGTAATTGTAACCCCTCTGTACAGTATGTTCACAATAAAGAAAAAACAAAAAAATAGGGTAAAGACATGCACAATGACTGGGCAGGAAGAGAGGGATTCATAACCAGGATGGTCAGAGATGTCTTCTCTGAAGGGCAGACATCTGACCTCCTTACAAACCTTCATTTGTCTCCTACACAACAGCAACAGTCACAAATGCATGTACTTCTGCTGCTACCTAAACCACAATCTCTTCTAAGACACCCATTGCTACTTCAGTGTCCATGGAGAAGTTCTTCCCACCTCTGGCCTTTCTGTTTCTTGATTTGTTCTCTTCCAGGGGGCTGCTCTACCCTCAGTTCCACCTTAGCTACTTGCTTCTATGACTAAACCCTAGATCTGGTCATAAACAATTTTTCTTGTCATAATCACTTTTATTTGCATATATTGGTTATGCAAGAGAATTTCAGTGTGATATTTCCAGATATACATATAATATCCTCAGGTCAGATTCATTCCCTCTATCACTGTGCCCCATCTTCTGTCCACTTTCTTAAAAACAATTTCAACAGGTTTCCTTGCTCTGTTTTCACACTAATATATGAAGTACTTTGACCATATTCACCCTCATTCAACCTCTCTGTTCACGCTCCACATCCCTCTGGTATGTACCCTATACAATTTTTCCTTAACCAAAACATTCAATGTCTCATTGGTCAGACAGGAGACTAGCATTTTCTATTGCCCAGCTCAGCCTCACTAGTAACTCCAACTGTCTTGGTTGTGTGAACCTTCCATCTCACTGCCCTGACTACCTTTTCATTGTCCCTCACTTCTTTGCTGCCTCTCTCTCCACCGTTCAGAGTGAATATTCCATGATCCCTCACTGCATTCACTCCTTTGCATACCTGCAGCTGAAATTTAACAAAGGGAGCATCCCAAATCTCAGTGCTTCATGACGGTCTCACTTTATGACCACCCACCACAAATGTGTTCTTCAAACTGTCTGGCAACCAATTCCTCTAGACATTCATTCTCCAGCTCTCCTTAAAAATGTCTTTTTCGAGCTGGGCAATGGTGGTTCACGCCTGTAATCCTAGCTATTCAGGAGGCTGAGAGCTGAGGATCGAGGTTCAAAGCCAGCCTGGGCAAGAAAGTCCATGAAACTCTTATCTCCAATAAACCACCAGAAAACTCCAAGTGGTGCTGTGGCTCAAGTGGTAGAGTGCTAGCCTTGAGCTGAATTGCTGAGTGACAGTGCCCAGGCCCAGAGTTCAAGCCTTACAACCAACAAAAACAAAAATGTCTTTTTCACTTAGCATCATCTTATATGGTCATATGTACATGACTTTTGAGCTTTTCTGCTCATCTGATAAAATTATCCTAGATGTATACTAATTATTGCAAATGAGGAAAACCATGGGATCTATATTTCTTTGGGTCTGGCTTCCTTCACTTATGGACACAAGAGGTCTTTCTTTGTTGTTATCATTGTTGTCTGTTTTATGTCAGTCGCGGGTCTTGAACCATGATCCTCAGATCTCAGCCTCCTGAGTAGCTAGGATTACAAGCATGAGCCACTGGTGTCCGGCTGTTGGTTTTAATGTACTATGTGATTTTTTTGTTTCCTTTATATGTTCTTCCCCCTATGATATATCCCCTGTGGTCACTGTACTTGATTTTGGTACCCTGCAACTTGTATATACATTTATCTAATTTGGGGAGTGGGAGGGGAATAACAAAATGCTGAAATGTAGGATGACTAATTGCAACAATGATATTCACAAGACATTATGTTGGAAATGAACTTTACAACTTGGGGGAGGAGGAGGATGGATGGAGGTAGAGGAGGGAAAGGATAGTAGGAGAAAAACAAAGGAGGGGGTAACAATGCTCCAGAAGAAATGTTCGCATCACCTTACTCATGCAGCCATAACCACTCTGTACAGAATCTTTACAATAAAATAAAATTTAAAAACAAAACAAAAAACTGTCTTTTTCCTACTCTCTCCTCAAATTCCTACAGCTCCTCCTGAATCTTCACTCTCAGTACATGATCTTGTTTCCTAGTTTGTTGAGAAAGCAGGTCCAATCATAACATAATATAGTCTAATGGAAGAAATGATCACGTCCAGCTAATGGCAAATCTTTCATTTGTTCACTAGATTCCCACCCCTCTCACCTACTCAAGGAAATAGCCATAAAAATCTCCCTTGTAATTATTTTAGGGGGAAATACAAAGGTGCAAGGAGAAAGAGAAAGTCATGAGAGTGAATGTGAAATATGTTGTATGGACATATGAAAATATCTAAATGAAACACATTTACAATTGTATAAAAAGGGGGAAAGAGGAATAAGAAATAGAAGGGATGAATATGATGAAAGCATATTATATGCATGTATGGATGTATCAAAATGAAACCTTTCACCTTGTACAGTAAATATGCACTAATATATCTCAACCAATTATGGTAACATACTTCTATAATCTCTGCTACATAGGAATTAGAGATAGTAAGATCACAGTCTGAAGGTCATCCTAGGCAAAAGTATGAGACCTTATCTGAGAAATGAAGTCAAGTTAAAAACAAATGCTGGAGTATGGCTTAAATGGTAGAGAGCTTGCCTGGTAAACATGAGGTCATGAATTAAATCCACAGAAAAAAGCCTCCCTTTTCTTCTGAATCATTAATTCTTTCCTGATATAGTATATAATTCCTATCAGTGAGCAAAGATATCTATTGACTTATTTTCCTATCTAGCAACTACCCTATTTTTCTCTTTTCTTTTATACTACAGCTCCTGAAGACAGTTACCTGTACTCATTACCTTCCTATTTTCTCATCTCATTCAGAGTCATCTCTGGTTATATTTTCATCACTTATTAAAGTTTTTATTATAGAGAATTTCAATCCTGTAAAGTATAATTTGTTGGAAAAAAACGAGATATTTATCCTATAAAAATTTCTGTAGGCTGAGACTTTTCTGAATGTATCCCTATGGTATCCTTTAGTATACTTCTGCTTCCTGCATTTCCTGTCCATTGCTAGGTGGATGTAAAAGCCTAATCAAATTTGGCTTAATTTCTTTGCAAATCTGCATAATTGGTGATGGTGTGTAGTTCCATTCAGAGGCATGGAATTGTGATAATGTCTCTGTATGATGGTAGCAACTGTTGGTTGCTCCATTGACTGTTTCAAGGTAATAATAATAGAACCCTATTATTCCATCTTCATTTATTCGCTAGAATACATCTATAAGGAGAACTATCCCTTCATCTACTAGATGGTTTTATGGTAGCACTGTTTCTACAGAAAAACAGGAGAGAGAACTGATTCTTTAAAATAAGGACTTAGTTCCCTAACATTTTTCAACAGTTATCAATGAGATTTTTTTTTCCATTTCACACTAGTCACTCCTACCATCCACCGAAACCATTCTTGTCAATGTTATCAGTAATCTTCATGATACTAAATGCAAGGATACAGCCTTCATCCTCAATGTAGGTAAGTCTCAAGCCACATTTAACACACTTACTGAAATGTTGGGGTTTTTTTTTTTTTTTTTTTCATTTCCTTCCAGGAGAGTCCATTCCTGGCTTTCTCACCACCTTTCTGAACACTGCTCAGTCTCCGTTGTTAATTCCTCCTCTGTTTCTTGACATCTTTTCAAAATTGAGATATAATTCACATACCATAAGATGTACCCTTTTTATTGTAAGATGAAAGCAGTTTTTCACATGCTTACAGAATTGTACATCCCCTCACCATTATTTTCACAACATTATCAACTTGGGCCTCTGCCTGCTTCACCTATCTATGTGACTGACTATGCAATAGTCACTTCAAATATACCATATCTCAAAATTGCTGGCCTCCTAGATCTACTCTACCTGTATATTCTTCATCAGGCACCAAAACTTTAGTCCTCTTGAACTCTGCACTTTTTTTCCTCCCCTACATCTACTAAATCAGAAGATCTACCATTTGACCATTTCTCCTAACCTCCACTGCTACTCCTCTTGTTCACCATCTTTCATGTGATTACATCAAAGATCATCCTGTATTTAGTTTCTGGGTAATCCATTCAATATTTAAGCCAGGTGGCCATGAAGATGATATAATACCTATTACATATACAGCACTTCATGCCAAGTGTTACAATGTATTACACAATCTGGCCTCCAATACTTGTCTAACCTCATTTCCTGTTGCTCTCTCTGCCCTGCTGTGCCAAGTACTCCTGGTTCCCCATGCCAGTCCCAAGCTGGTTTTATTGCTATGGTTTTGTAATAAAGCTTGAAGTTTGGTATTCGTATTCCTCCAGCACTGTTCTTCCGGCTAAGGATTATTTTTGCTATTCTGGGTCTTTTATTATTCCATCTGAATTTTTGGATTGATTTTTCTATTTCTTTGAAGAAAACCATTGGGATTTTGATGGGTATTGCATTAGATAGCCTATTATTATTGTTGTTGTTGTTGTTATTACTATACCTATGAAAGAACCAAATAGTTAAGTGAATCTCCTAAAGTCACACATCTGCAAAGTTCTAGAACTCCAAGTGGAATTTCCATAGGGTCACAACATGGCTGGTGTTGCCTCCTCTTGAGTTTGTAACTCAAAAGATTATTATTCAATGGGTCTTTCTGCTTTCTCAATGCAGGTATATATATATACACACACACACACACACACACACACACACACACACACACACACACACACACACACATAACCAATGGCATTTGCATTTTAGAAGTTATCCAAAAGCAAGTGATGCTCTGTGGTTTTCCTTTTAGAGGTTTTGCATCTTTGGAGTAACAGCCACAAAGGACCAACCTTGGTCCTGCTCAGACTCCAGAGATAATGAGAGCCTGCACATGTGTCAGTGAGAAAGAACAGCATGATGGGAGTAGAAGATGAGTTATTTTCTGGAGTGCAAATTGCATTCAGCAGAGGCAATTTATCATGTCATATCATCACTGAAATGATCTCCCTGCTGCCTGCCAACCATCACCTTCAGTATCTTCCTTAGTGTTATTTAAGCAAATGAAATATGCCTGCTTCTAGGTTTATTTGTTTATGCAATGTTTTTGTGCTGCTTTAGTAAGAGATCATATTTAACCAACTTTATGTACTTAATAGTCATAGATATTTATGATAGTATTTTGCAACCAT